GACGACGTGTGTGTGTGTGTGTGTGTGTGTGTGTGTGTGTGTGTGTGTGTGTGTGTGTGTTTGGGGCGGTATGAAGGGAGTAAATTGTGACAAGGAGACTGGGGTTCAGGGCTGGGAGATGGTGGGGGCAGGAGATTGGGACTGGGAGGGAAATCTGAGATTGGATAAGGAATTTAGATGGAGGAGCCTGGGACTAGCCGAGCAACAAGACTATGAGAGAGACTGGAATGAGGAGGCTAGGGTGGGGAGAAAATGGGAAGCTGGATGGGAAGCTATGAGGGGAAGACTAGAACTAGAATGAGGAGTCTCAGGGACTGGGACTAGCTGGATGAGGAGATTTAGATGGGGAAGTGGGTGTGGGGTGGGAGGATGGATGGATGGATGAGGAGCAGAGGAGGGCGAGGGAGGAGACAGGACTGGGACAGAAGTGATTGGGTTTGGGAGGAACCAGGGCAGAGAGGTCTATGACCACTAGAGAACACTGCTTTTCAGAGCCTGGAATGAAACCCAAGGTTTCTATGTTAGAGTATTTCTCTTCTGTCAGCAAAAATATGTAAAACCCACTGGCAGAGTATGTATCTCCCCCTCTACCACTTGGCCACATAGAGATTGATAGCATACTATTGCTGTCAGTTACTCTGTTAGCTCAAAAGGCAGAGAGGACTGTGCTGTGGATCTAAAAGATCCAATGTTGGTAATGACCCATACAGATGTCAATATGATCCCACAAGATGGAATTTCAGTTTTTTCATTTTTTTTTAAAAACTAGGAAATTACATCCTCCCCCCCCCCTCCCCCAATAGCAGACTGTTGTGGTTGCAAAGTCAAACACTCAAAAACTAAAAAATGCCAGAATTAAAGATTCCTGTGCAACCTTAATTTAACACTCTTGTTTGTATATATTGATGTCATGTGGAAAAAATAGTAGGCGATCATGTAATTATTATAATGTAGCTATATGTACACAAGGGGGCCAAATTCAGATGGCATGCGTAATCGTAATTTTGACATTTCCTAACATTTGGCTGCTTGACCTCACAACCTTAATATTCTTTTAACTTTTTGGGTTTAAGTATTTATATTACAGTAGTATGTAGAGGCCGTAGTCAAGGATCCCCTTGTGCCTGGTGCTATATATAATAGACAGTTCAATCCTAAGGAGCTAACAAATTCGGGGCATGTGAATGTTTCACATATCTGGCACGTAAATACCGTGCAATACCGGCTACAAAAGTGCCAGGAGAATGCCTGTTCTCACTTTCTGGTAACACTTTAAATAAGAAGTGGGCAGCCTTATCTCCTGCAAATGTAAACAAACTTGTTTGTCTTAGCGATTGGCTGAACAAGAAGTAGGACTGAGTGGACCTGTAGGCTCTAAAGTTTTACAGTGTTTTGTTTTTGAGTGCAGTTATGTAACAAAAAATCTACATTTGTAAGTTGCACTTTAACGATAAAGAGATTGCACTACAGTGCTTGAATGAGGTAAATTAAAAAATACTATTTCTTTTGTTTATCATTTTTACTGTGCTAATATTTTTAATAAAAATCCTTATGACTAGAGGCCTTCAAGGAAGGTTTAGATTCTTTGTGTGTTGACTAAATGATACTAAAGCATATGAAGAGATTTATTTCCTAAATACCAAAACCACTGAGGTATCTTTGAGTAGGAATTGTGAGTTTTCAGCAACTGTGCAAACCTACATCTACTCTACATTATGACCTAGTATGATAAATATAAAGATAAAACAGTAAAATTACTTTTAAATAAGTAAGAGTTGGCTTTTACTTTTGTTCTGGGGTATATATGGATGCTTTAAAATCTCTGTAATCTCATTTTTTTACCTGACTCCACCTGATACTCTGAAGCTAATCTGCCAAAATATCTTCAAAAACATAAATAAGGGGATGAACGTACTCATTCAGGTTATTGGTAATATTTGTGTAGCATCTATAACAAAATGGCTGTGACTTGAACAATAGGAAATGGATGGGCATGGTATTCTCTGCAAAGTTTGCTGGATGTAGGCTGCTTGGAATATACTAGTGAAGGGTGTTGCAAAGGCAGGCTTATAAGGGAGACACTATCATGTCAAAGGACTATCAAGTATTTACTAAATAGTGTTTCTTCTTTGAGGTACCGGTCCCTATGTGTATTCCACATATGTGTACACATGTGCTCCATGTACCTGAAGATGGAGGATTCTTGAAAGTGGTATCTGTTGGTCTGCTCATGTACCTTTGGTCTCCTTGTGCCTCCAACTGAGGAGATAAAGGGCAGAGCAGACTGACTGCCTTTCCAGTTCCTTCCTACTGCCACATGGCCTGTGTCAGAACCGTCAATATCTGGAGATTCATCTTCCTCAGTTTATTCTTTGGTCATACATATATGTTAGGTAAGAGGATCAGCAGAGGAAGATGTGAAGGTCCATCAGCCTTCCTCCACCACCAATAAGAGCAATGTTATAACATTCAGATTTGCTTCTTGATAAAATTAAACATAGCGTGAGGAGACTATTTTATTTTCTGGAATGCAGTATACAAAATTGGTCATATCAATGTCTAAATCACGGTATTATAATAATTTGTGTTGTTTTCTAGTAGTCTAATATTTTATTAATTTTAATAGCTGTTTTATCACGAGCAGATGTTGAAAAGTTACAACTATGGCTATATATATTCTGGAACACTCAGTTTATATTGAAATTCATTAAATGGGCCCTGATATTTAGTTCACAGATTCACCCAACAAACTTATTCATGATTGGGAAATGTCAGGAGAGGCAGCCTGATCCAGTGACAGAGCACACTGGTCTAGAAGGCAGGAGATCAGGATTCTATTCTTGGCTCTACTGCTGCCTTTCTCTATGAAGCTAAGCAAGTTACTTCACTTCTCTGTGCCTTTGTTTCCTGTCCCACCTACTGTCTGTCTTGTCAGTTTAGACTGTAAGCTCTTCAGAGCAGGGACTGCCTCCTACTATGTGTTTGTACAGCACCTAGCACAGTGGGGCTCAATCTGAGTTGGGTAGATGCTACTGTAATACAAATAGTAACCATTAGTAACATAAATCCTTTGCTGGAATTATACCACTTGGGGATTCCCCTATGCAAGATGAATCTCCAACTGGCTATTTAAGTCTTGGCATAGTGCAAAGAGGATGGAACAGAGCACATTTGGCCAATTTGCTTTTTAATGGCAGTTAGTGTACCTAGTGATGTTAGGCCTGTTGGAGTTCCTCATAGTCCTCTACATTTAACTAACCTGAACATTTTAGGTTGTAAACAAGTTTTAGTGTTTCACTATTTTATAAAGGAAAACAAGGATTAGCAAACATTTTCTGGAGCTGAGAAACATGTCATTGTACAGACTCTAAGAGGTCAGTATTTATTATTCATACCTGGCAAAATCACATCAGTATCTGCTCTTAAGTAATTAAATAAGCAAGAGAGTTCCGTGTTCCATGTTGCATCATGTGGTCATGTTTGCAATTCTAGGGGGTATCCCAGTTAGGCTGTTGGTGTTCAGAGACCACTGCTTATTATGTTGAGCAGTATTGTCTTATTGCTTCCTTGCACTCCCCCGCCTGTGTCCCTCTGTTGTCTTGTCTTATACTTAGGGCTTGTCTACACTGCAAATTTCTCGCTCAGGGGTGTGAAAAAACACCCCCCTGAGTGCAGCAAGTTTCAGCGTTGTAAAGCACCAGTGTAGACAATGCACCAGTGCTGGGAGCTGTGCCCCTCATGGAAGTGATTCTGCCGCGACCACACAAGCCATGTTAAAGCGCTGCCGCGGCAGTGGTTTAGTGTTGCCAGTGTAGACTAGCCCTTAGATTGTAAGCTCCTTGGGGTTGGGGATCATCCTTATATTCTGTTTG